AGAAAAAATTCCACGCGCCGCCATCTTTGTTTTGAATTTTCATCTTTTGATCTCGCGCTTTTTTCGCACGTTTCTCTCGCGCGCGTCACGCAAGAGTGACCTGTTCCCCGCGCGAGGAAACTGGTACGAGCCACCTTAATGCTACGATATTTTTAACGTTTTCTTCACATAATTTTTTAAAAGTGAAATTCTAATTTTTCTACTAATAGACCTTCCAGATAACAATTAAAAATGCACAATTTTGGCATACAAACGTTCTTTACAAAATTAATGCCGATCGTTGCCTAGCGATGTCATCTAAAGTAGAAAAGGAATAACACTTCATTTCAAATGCTTCTGAGAAAACGGCAGAAATTTCGAAAATATTGCAACCACAGCATTTCATTTAATAGATCTTGTCTTAAAGTAGTCCAGTGGCCAGAAAAGATCGGGGGCAAACGTTTTTATTTCTTACTTGACCCACTGGATACTTTTTCCTTCGTGGATGTTCGGCCCAAACGCCGCTATCATCTCGTTTGACATGTGAATAGGTCCCACATGCCTAATGATACTGTCATTTGATGGATATTTGATACAATGCGGAACAGTGAACTCCCCCTTAAGGTCTCGGTGTGTTTGATAATGTTTAACTTGGCGTACCAGATCGAATTTCTTAAGCAAGAAAAACAATGCGATTTCCAGTACTTTAGAGAGGATGACGATACCCGTGATGACTAAAAACATGTAAAACGTGTCCAAGATAATTCCTCGAAGGGCCGCCAAATAAGGAGACAGAGCCTTTTTGTGGACTTCTTTGTAGCGAAAACGGTCGAACTTGGTAAATCTGAAAAAAAAAAAAATTTCCACGTGAAAGATTGGTTTCGAGTCCTTCCAACAGTATCTGACATCGTCTTAACAACGTTTTGATTTTAGCATCAATCAAAATTATTTCATAAAGTTTGGTGGAGGACGGCTACCGAAGTAAGAGGTGGAACGTTCAAAATAAGAGAAAGGTCCGTGGTTTCCATTTAGACGAACATTAAGCATGAAATTGAATAGCTTTATTGTTTTGCTAAAATTACCAAAAATTCCAATCATAAGAACAAACAAGCCACAATGGCCATATTGGTGGCCACCCTGGATGGAGCCGCATCCCCATCCCCTAAGTTTATATTAATGAACTCAAGCGATTGTGATCCACATGGAGTAAGGTATGAAACAGGAGTTTACTGAGAGCAACAAGAGACAAGACTTGTGCTCTCCAACCCACATTCATGAAGATGATTGGATAACTACTCACCTTTGTGGAATAACCGGTTCTAAGTTACATTCAAACTGCATCAACATATTCAAAAAGTCTTTGTTATACGGTCCCACTCCATCACAATCCATTCCAGGTTCCTGGGCCCACGAGCAATACTCTTCGTTATGCAGGTCAGCTTTTGCGCATTGATACGCCTGGTACATTTTAGCCTTCTTTCTGTAGAAAGAAATCCTTGCATTCACTCTAAAATGGGATAAAAAAAAAAACAAAAAAAAAATGATTAATGCTTTCAACCAACATACTTTCGAACCAAAGGTTCAGATGGATGGATTTATGGCTGGATTGTCTTACTAGAAGGAACAGAAGATCCCGCAGAAAAGTATGTAACTTATTATGGGAAGCAGTGATATTTCAGTAATCAAATTCAATTTAAGGATCGTCAACTAAACCGTAGTCAATATTAAAAGCAACTAGGCATCTTCTTTGACGAAGGGAATGCATGGCGCTCTGCTATCGTGGGTGTCAAGAGAACTAAAATAGATGAAGAGCTGCTCGATTCTAATGACCATTTTCCATTTTCAATCAACTAAATTGCAAAAAATGCATTCAGTTCCAGCACGAAAGCAAAACGATGCAATATGTGGGAAAGTCTGTTAGCTTGCGCAGTCTCTCTTCCTTTTTATGCCTTTCGGCTGGATATGATATGATTAATTACCTGTTCTCGTAGTAGGGAATATGGACATCGTTAACCAAAAAAGCATTTGATGTTATTCTTGTGTTGACAATCTTCCTCATGGTCAGAAGCGGTGCCATTTTGAGGTCGAAATATCCAACAACTTCCAAAGTTTCAACGTTCATGGAATGTTTAGCGGTTACTATGACAACATACACCGACAAAATTGCAATTACAGACAGCAAACACATAGGGAACAGATTTGTATTGTTGATCTATGACGAAAAATAGAAGTTCCATATGGATAAGAATTTTGTAGGCTCCTGCAAAGCTTAAGGAGAGCAAAGCGATGCAAAATCGAGAAATTAAGGAGGAGCAAATTAAATTAGTTCTGATCGTGATAAATCGATACCTTCTTATCTTGCACTTGAATTATTGCTCACCTGATAATTAAGCTCTTTGAGTTTGACCAAAAACTTTAGTAAAACCTTGTTGAGATTATCAAGTCCCTTTAATCCAAGTCGAGTGGCGCTCTTGCTTTTTGCTTCATCCGAAGTGATATCTCTGTCAGGTTGATCAGTTCTAGCATTTTGAAGCGAATCTTGACTTCGATCTAATAGACTTTCGTGTGAGGAGTCGGTTAATCGAGGCGGGCGGGAAGATTCCTCGATATTCTGACACTTCATTTTTAATTCATCAACCGCTGCCTCGTTTTCATTTCGTTCTGCTTCGTATTTTTGTTCATTTATCCTTGACTTTTCTTTCTTCCTCTTCCTTTTTACCTCCTTTTTCTCCTCTTTTTTTTGTATTTCCTCCAGCTTGAACACTTTCGGATAGCCGTGTAGAAGAACAATCACTAATTGGTATGTCCTACAATGCCGATAGGCAAACCACAGTACGTCAAAAACAATCAAAACAGCCGTGAAAATCCCGCTCCTGTAGAGCCGCACGACCCATTCTAAAGCTAACAACTTTTGTGCTCTTTCTATACTCAGCTTACGTGATATGCTAACATTTGGAGCAGATAACTGCTGAATATTTATATTTGTGCTTATCTGAGTTTTTCTCTGCCATGTTGTAAGGTTAATGTCTTGTGCTCTTGTTGAGGCGATAGGTAGTTCGCGGTCAAAAGCTTGAAAAATGTCGTCAAACGAAGGAAGTTTGGCCTTCACTCTTGGAAAATTGACTGATAGCCCCACCCACTCGATGAAAGGTTTTTTGATACCCCCTCCGCCAAAAGCTCTCGAAAGACCGTCCAAAGACTGGTAAAGTCCCTTAGCAACCTTTAACCAAAAGCTTTTCTCTATTTTTGTCTGAATCTGTGAAATCCTGGTATTTATTTCATTACTATAGGCCTCCAGTCGCTCATTAAGTCGCTTCCTCTCCTTTTCGAATTTTGCTTGCGACGCAGAAAATTGTTTCTTGATTCGATCCTCTGCCGCGTACATAATAGATTTCCGCTTCATCTCTTCTTCCTGTCTTTCTCTCATTTCCCTGAAGTGTTTTTCTAAGAACGTGTTTAGCTCTTTCAAATTTTTCTCACAAGCAGCTTTTCCTTCACTGAGAAGCGACCATTGGCGATTTATTTCTTGCGCTTTGTGTTTATCCATTTCCTGAAGAAACGTTTCTTCCACTTTTGCCTGCTGTTCATGAAAGTTTTTGAATTTTTCGAGCGTCTTTACATTCGTATGGTGAATGGCAGTCAGAATAACAAACAGGGCAGTCAGTGTCAACAGGAAACTCTTAACAACTCTTACCCCAACTAACCAGACGACAAACAAGATATGCCTGAAATGCAGCGCATTATCCCGATCTCGGTGGCAGTCATCTTTTGGCCGTGTTTTGTAACCGTAAATAAGGATTGCTACAAGTAAAAAAAACATCCCTCCCGTTGCTCCACCAAATGGAATAAATACTTCTAACTTTTGCAGATCAAATGTTTCGTCAATGTCAGGTGCTTCAAATTCAGGTATCCTCCTTGGACTGACTAGAATGAGTTTTAATGTCTTGTGGGAGTCTGCTAGGCGAACAACGAACTGTTTGTCGATCAGGTTTGCGTCACCATCAGAAGGAAGATTGAACTCCACTTGGAAGAGACAGTCCTCATTAGTTATCGCTGCATAATGAAATAACAATAATTGGGGGTCTAAATTTATTAAATGTCAAATACGGCGATTCAAGCAACTTTGACGGTACGTTGCAGAACCAGTCGAAATGGAATTCTAAGACTGTTGAAAGTAGCATGTACTCTGTAAGGGGATGGATTCGTCTTGAATTTTGAACATTAATGCATCAACGGAATTGGTGTTGATACACCTGTGCACAGAGAAACTGCCGCCATGATCATGCTCTGACTTTGCGCTACTTTAACTTAGAATGCTCTGAGTCCTGTAACCGTATGAAAGGGGAAGATTTCCTCCCAAACATTTTCGGAATTTTTCTAATAGAAGAATGGAAATTAAGTATCTTAAAGAGAGATTTGTGGATACTCATACAAAGTTTCACTTTGAAATTAGGTTAGCATCCAACTCCTCCCTACATGTTTATAACTTTGCTCAGTAGGTAAGGGAGTAATGGAGAAACTTACCAATGTCATAATGGTAAACGTTTACGTCTGGTCGGTCTCGATCATTCAACCTCACCGCAAAGAATCCTGGGCATGTGCTGACTTGACCAGTTAAACGTATGGTCCAGAATGTCCTATTTCTCAAAAGCTTGCCTGTAAACGTGTTATCGTTCAATATGACTGTCCCTGGAAACGCATGCTGCAGTATGGAGCGTTCAGATGGGACCTCAACATGGACCTCTTGGGGGCCTGAGCTGTTGAAGACTTTATACACTCGTCCGCTATCCTCATGAGCGACTTTTGCTGAAGCTTGTTTTAGCTCCTCAAAATAATCTATTGATGCTCTGGATGAGATAACCGAAAATTTTTCCGTGTCTAAGGTTTGGCAGTTTTCTTGTGGCCAACTGTTTGGGTTTATTTTAAAAGGCTCTGTAGGTTGAATGTAAAGCTTTTTATTCGTATTGGGTGGGACGGATTGTCGTTTGGTTTTGTACCAACCCACATTGAAGTTTGATTCTCCAACTTTGCCACTTATCATCAGAAAATTTCTCAAATTATTTCTGATCTCGGAGGAATGTCTCAGAACCATGTAGCCATAATCGTATCTTGTCGTTCCTCTACCAGTTTCTTTGGTGTAGTTCTTGTCGCGTTTCTCTTGAATTCTTCTCAAAAGCTTTCCATCTTTCCATAGAGACGCCTCGAACTCGAATACGGGACCTCTTGAAAACTTCACGTGACATCTGAAATATCCCCCATTGGGAAAGACTGGTGTAATAGGAATGGAGAACTGTTTTTCTCCCACGCAGGTGACCTGTGAATCGATGCATGAAGATTTGTAACGCGTACACGAACAATGCGAACAAGTGCAGTTCTTTCGGAAACAGCAATCAAAGCAATACATAAAGTGCTCTCCATACTCTTGCTTGGAGTCGTGTTGCGCATTGCTCTTAGTAAAAGCGCAAACAGGGTTCTCAAAGGAAGTATTGGTGCATTCATTACGACATTTGTTGCAATCGTTCCTTAGTGTGTGACACGCTATGGAAGCTTCTTCTCTCCAAAACTCCTGGATCGCGTTTTTCACACCAAATAGCTTAAGGATGGGATTTTCAGCTCCATTACACGAAAGTGTATTTCCTTGCGTCGGCAAAGTATTCAACTTCCCATCATACCTAGGGCAAGGAGTGTTCGGTTGTCCTTTAATAATGCGCACGTTGTCAGAAGATTCCTGTAAATCTAAACGGTAATAGTCTGGGACTGGGGAGTTACATAAATCCCTTAGGACAGTCTGCGAAGTTATGTCTTTTGGAAGCTTACTGTTATCGTTAGAGTCGTGTTTGACCTCTTGAAAAGTCGTGCTGTGATCGATGGTTAGAATTTGAAGCTTAATCGCTAGACCACTTGATCGGTTTAACCATAGGTCTGAAGAGCGTGATTCATCGCTGAAACTTTGTCTTAGTGGTTTATCATCTTTAACCTAAAAAAAGAGAAAAGTAGGAATTTTTCGGGCAAGTTGTTGTAAGTGGATACCCTCAAGGAACTGTAAAAAAATTTCACACAAATGATGGCGTTATCTACGATATGAACAACTGGACCCTGGTAATTGCAGATCGGATAGTCTTAAGAAAAATTCCCTGTAAGTGATCATAACCAATTACTTAAGCATATGGCCACCGATATTGAACAAAAAGAACAACTACAATACTGGCGCTCAGTCTTTTCTTACCTTTAAAACATCTTCAAAGACAATGTTTGGGGAAACTTGAATATGAGGCAGTTGCGATATGTCTAGAAGAAATCGAATTAGAACGCTAAGACAAAGACGCCTGTCATTGTATGCATTACACCTATATGTAACAATAGCAACGGCATCACAAGTAAATAAAATGTCATTGTACCTGTACAATTTCTGTCTGTTTTTCCGGTGCATGGAACGGATTCAAATTCTTTAAAACTACACTGAGGAAAACACTCTGAAAGAACAACCCAAAAAATATGTCATTCGAGTGAAGTACTTAGGCGTATCCATGTACATATTTCAACTCGTTAATGAAAAAATCTGAAAGTCAAAAATATAATTATGAGTCAACCTACTTTGGCAGACAGCTTCATGCGTGCTGTTTCAAGAAGACACTTCAAAGAAACCTTTCTCGCACTTTTGATCACATCCTTTGAGAATAAAGAAATCAATCTTAATTTTTCTTGCATCATGTTTGCAGTGCACCTAAAAGAACAAAATTGATGCTTGGCAAGTCTGCAAAAGTCTTGCCAGTTTGAAGTTGTAGCGCACTGAGAACATAATGAAAGTACTTGTACTAATTTTAGTATTATTATATGGCTGTGTCGCACAAGGACTGGGAACTACCATTTTCACGAATTTGATTGACTGAAATCAATATTGAAAGCGGTCTAGATTTTCCCACCTAGACCGGCATCTAGACAGGTCTATAAAAAAAGGTACAAAGTATATAAAAAATGGCATATAAGACACAGCCATATAATAAACATCTTATTAACCGAGCTAGGTCGGTCTAGATCTGTACAGGATAATCTTGAGCTCGGTCGCTGGTACAGACCTCACTGCGTTCGGTCTGTACTGGGGACCTCGGTCAAGATTCTCCCATACAGACCTCCCGCTCGGTTAATAAGAACTAAATATTAACTACCGAACGATG